TAGCACTGCCTGAAGACGGTGATGCAATGACCTGCTTAAAGCCCACCACTTCTACGAATGCTCACCTTTGCCTGTGAATGTCATTTGTGTACTTTTTATTTCTCATGTATCCCAACTGATGTTCTTTCTACCTTTAAAATTTGTAATATACGCAATATGTGAAGAAATTCAAAACAATAGAACAATATTCTTTCATGACATACCCACAATGCGCAAAGGTGAAGGCGTACATGGTTAGGTGCGGAAAATAATATGGCTTTGTGGACACTGCAATAACATGACTATTCCTGCATGCATTTGTTTACGCAGCCACATTGGCAGTAAAATAGCGTCAGCAGGCCAAGGACTAACAATGGAGCGTAGCGATAAAACTAGCGCCTATACGTCAACATTCCATCCGAGTGAATTGCCATCGCATTTTGATGGAAGGAACGTAATGGGATACATGCGCAAGCTAGACAGGATATTGGATATTACTTGTCTATCAAGCACCAAGAGTGTTATTTTTTCAACTATGGTGATGGCTGAAAATGCCCCAGCCGGATCGTCAGTCCGCAGATACCTACAATTTTCTTTTCAATGCGTGCTTGCTGGGGTTTATGGTCCTACACACACGTCTCACTTGGTGTTCCTAAAGTGTCAGTGTGCTGCTGGAGGTGGGTGGGTGTGCTGAGACTGAGCCTGCTCTGTCAGTCTCAAAGCGGGCAAAGAAGCGGTTTAGCTCCCCTGTCAATGACGCATCTGCATTCACAGACACTCCATTTTTGTTATTGTAGATGGTGAAGTGCTGTCGACACTACCACATCTTCCGCGCGTTGTCAGTCGTGAACTGCTCCTCAATCGTCCATTTGTAGGCCTGTTTGCCTTTCTTTGATGCCACGCTTCAGGTCAGCTCTGACACTGCAGTGCAGGGACCGGTCACCGGTCCTGAAGGCAGCATTACGGGATTTCAGGAGCATCCAGGTTTCACTGTCCCAATGAGTGTGGGAAAAACAAATTCCTAGGATCAAATGGTCATGCAAAACCCTGCACTACAATATCATGACAGCTTGAGGAGGGCAACTTGCAAACAGAAATGTATGATTTGCTGCATGGAATTAATTTTATTTTTTATTTTTTTAGATAGGCCAGAAACAAACAAAAAAAAATAAATCCAATATGTGCCCAGGCTCGTCTAAACATGGCATTCTGAGTACAGTATTATTACATTTGTGAAATCTAGAATTAAGCAGATTAATCTACCCTTTTTCATCCATCTCAGGGGCTGACATTTTATCCTGCATCGTGCATCGTCTGTGAACTGAAATTGACATCAAAGCGCCATCGGGCTTGCATTTTGAATTATCACGGCTCACCGGGTTTCTGGGTTTGTTCACGTGAGGTTGGCAATGCGAGCCTGAGGGCACTTTGTTGAATTGGACAGCCTCCCCCATAAAATGCAGGTAACCATGACATTACTTCACTGGCCACCATTCAATGTCGTTTTGATTTACCATTCTGCATTTAGTGTGCACTACATTATTTGCACATACATAAAGTACCGCGTGTCTATGATCCTCATATTCCAGTGACGTCAGGCTCGTAGCGACAAAGCACTGTACTATATACTGTATATTTGACCCGTCCATTTACTTTGCATTCACTATGGAAGTTTCATAACGAGATTTTTCTCCATATTTGGAAGAGGCATGATTCCAATCTGTGGACATTTGACTTTGCAACCAAGATTTATTCACACATGCTCTGACCTATCAAAAAATTGGGTTACTTGTGTGACTTTAACCATGTATGAATCCATCTTAACTATCATAGGCTTCGGCTTCCTCATGACCCTGCACACAATAAGCAGCTGGTCAAAATCCAAAAAACAATAGAACAATAAAATAAGAGAAAAATAAATAAGAGAAAAAAAAATAACAGAGATACTTATTGACCTGCATAAATGCAGCAAGGTGTGCATGCAGCAGAAGTACAAATGCAAGAGCCTTGAATTGTACATGATATTGACAAGGTCTTTGTACTTCGAAAAAAGAAAAACGTGTTCAATTTAAGACACATTTTTTTGAGGAATGGGGGGGTGATGTTGGGGTTACAGAGCACTCACTCATTTATAATGAGTGAGTTTGTACTGAATGTAAACATTTTTCTGCTACCACATTGTGGATCAGTGTGAGTGAAACCTTCTTGTGAACCTCTGCTCAATGCAGCCAGTGTTGTGTCAAAGCACAGCACATTCATTCACAAGAGTCTGAAGCAGTTTGTGTAAACGCTTTTCATTCACGTCCCTTCGGAGCTGGAAGTTTAACTTTCTCTGTTGACAGATTGGAAGGAAACGAACAAGAGCATCATTAGTCTTGGCTACTGCTGCACACTCGATAATAGTGAAGGATGTCAACTGATCAGCACCAGAGGGTTTATGGTTTTGAGGGTGTGAAAAGAAATGCTTTACACGTTTTCACGTTGGTAGTTAGGGTTGTGTACAGGGTGAGTATAGGTCAAGATCCCGATTTTCAATGTTCTGCTCTGTGTAAAACATTGCGCTGTTGTCATGTTGTCAAACGGTTCTTGTTCATTGCAGTTATACTGTTCAGATATGGACATTATTTTAAGTTGGTACTGAAAAACTTAGCTTTGTCTCGAGTTTATATTATAAATCATTTAATTTCATGTGATTTAAAAGTTTTATTTATAAGCTCACGTTTTAAATCATGTCGAGAGGAAATTGTACAGAAACAATAGTTATGTTAAATTTCATAGCGTACATTTTTATTAATCACCAATATTCAAAAGCAAAATAGCTCTTGACCCAATTATTGAAATTGTGTTGGGTTTGAGTGACTGTTGCAGAGTACTACAAGAGTGTGGAGCAGAAAAACATTCTTTTTCTTTCAAAATTAGTTCCAAGAAACGTTTAGCGGTAAATAGTCACTTCAACATGTGAGTGGTTATCATGAACCGTTTAATGAAGTGCTTAGGTATGTTGGCATGTTGCCTTTCAAGACCTGTGTGTGTGTGTGTGTGTGTGTGTGTGTGTGTGTGTGTGTGTGTGTGTGTGTGTGTGTGTGTGTGTGTGTGTGTGTGTGTGGCTTGCGAAATAGTCCCGGTTAGTGGAAATATTGAACAACAGTTAAAAAATGTTATCATTGAGTGACTGCCGGATTTGTGCATTGCGGTAGAAACTGTAAGGATAGAGAGATGGACGCCGTGGCAGCAGAGATATTTCACAGGTGGCTGTAAGAAACCCAAGACTTGGCTGGACAAACACTGCAAAGCTGAAACAGTAAATCTGACACAGTAAATCCTTCTTTTGCCCTGTTTTTGTCTTCCAGTCTTCCACATGGAAACCTCAATTCCAGTTGATGAGTAATGATTCTCATTGGGTCGTTGGGATCCAAGACAAATGTATGACAAATTCAGATGATGAAATATATAAATATCATATTGGTTTTGCAGCAAGCCCCAACTGTGCAATTTGGCCGTTCCGTTTAGTGTATTGTACACAGACTAAAAGGAGAGTTCGGGTACACTCACACTGGGCCAGTACAATCGTACATGAATCACCTCCTCTGTCACTCGTTGGTCCGCTCCCACACTGCGCTTTCCCGATCCGTGCTTCACATTTACATGTAAAAACACGACATGTCACACTGTGTTACAACTTGACTAGTGTTGCAGCTTTCCTCACATTGTGTCTGGGTTGCAATCATTATGTTTGTTTATAAGTTGCTTGTAGATATTATCCTTAATAATTGGTAAATTACCTTTCCAGAATGTAAATGCAAATGAGAAATTTAAGGTGGCCAGAGCGACAAAACACCTCACTGAGGGGTAGCCATGATTGTGTCCACTCGCATGGTTGTTCACCACCTCTCTAATTGAGAAGTCATTGTTTATCAAAACATCCACAGTCATTGTTTCATGACATAAAATGAACACAAATCCAGAGCTTGGCCTAACACACGCATAATGAAGCATGAACAAGTCTAAATAAAGAGCGATGTTTTGCTTAGCTTCAAGGGGAAATCAACTCCAAAATGTTTGTTCCAATAATATTGGATCTTTGATGCAGAACCACTAGTCAAAATAATGGTATTCTGATTAATGTTGTGCTTTTGAAATATGAATTAAGCAGCAAAATCCACCTGCTTTTATTCATCTCAGGGGGCAGCCATTTTGCCACTTGCTGTCGATCGAAAATGACATCACAGTTGTTCAGGGGTTCAGTTAATGACCGGTCATGGCTCATCTTGAGTGAATGTCATATGACCAAACGGTTTTTACATGCTGCATGGCTGTCAGTGCTACATGTGTCACCCAGCTCATATGGAAACATCTGTCAAACCTTCACACATGCAAGTAGTGTTTGTGAGGGGGTTGTGGGATTGTTACTGTGCACGGCTGCAGTCATTCCGTGAAAGTCTTCCGTTGCTGGAGTTCTGCTTCTCTAAGCTGACAAATTTAGCAAGACGGATCTGCTTTGGGAACTTTCAAGATAACAAATGTTGTCAACTTTATTTTGGGCATGTTGGGCATGTGGCAACAGAGTTGAACATGTCCTGTAATACAGTAATTCTGTTTGTAGCAAGCTATTGTTACAACGTTTAACAAATTATCATAGTATTAGACCTCCACCCAATGTGAAATTCGTGCCACAGCTTCCTAAAATAAATAGAAGTTTACATTTGTGAAGCACTGTACCTACAGATTTGCTGTGGACATACTATAGCTTAACGTCTTGTCTCGTTCTACAACTGTGATCATGGATATATATAGCCTACTGTAATCCTGGATGTCAAGTTTTTATTTTAAACCAGGTAACCAATGAGACAGTCAAACAAATTTGAGAAACTTTATTAGTAAAAATATAAATGCGTGATTGATTGGATTGCACGTAGGACAAGCGATAACAGCACATGGGAACTGAAAATACTTGACAAAGTTGAATGATCAAATTTCTTCTATTAATTATTTTCATCACCAAAAATCTGTTTGTGTTTCAGATGTGATTTCTCCCACTCTCTTCAACCCTTACTTCAGACGGCTAATGTTTGACGTGTCCTCCAAGGAGAAGAACGCCTCCAACCTGGTGAGAGCTGAGCTGAGAATCTTTCGTCTTCAAAATCCTACGGCAAGAGTAGCTGAGCAGCGCATTGAGCTCTACCAGGTAATACTGTTACAATCAATCATTATTTTGCTTGTGATTGATGAAAGAGTTATGATGAAGAAAACGGCTTCAAGGTTCTCAAAGTTGAAGTTCCAAACTGCTTATTACAACGAGCGCTTATCTGTTAGTTTGATGTGAGTGCTTGAGCTCTAAACCATCAAGGGAAGCAGAAGCAAATTACTTATTTGCTATTGTTGATCAATGTGCTATCAAAATAATGCATTGAGATCTCATGCACAAATCGAGAGCATACGCTCTTGAGCCTTCTTTTCACCAAGTAGTTCACTTGGGTTCAGTTGGCCGTTTATTCTTTGAATAAACAGCCACACGGAAGTTGAAAGAAGCAAAAGGCTGAAGGTTCTTTATTGCTTTTTCTTTCCTGGCTTGTGTTGCTCATGTTACTGTTCACTCAAAACATGCCCGCATGAGAGTAGATGGGCTCTTTGTATATAACCCATCTAACGTGCATTCAATGTTGTTGTGTATTTATTCTAATTAATTAATATGATGTGAAAAAGCAGTGCACATAAAAAAAAGAAGTGAAGCACCCCCAAAGAAAAAGGTTTGGCACCAGAATAAAACAGAATAAATTGCGATTATATACAACATATAAATTGTTTAAACGTCCACGTTCTTTTTATACAGAGCTAAAGGGTGGGCCTACTTCATTAAAGAATTTAGATAAGTGATTTGGTTCTGCAGTCACCCAGGACTGACTGTCGGTCAGCCTGTCGGCACCAGCCGGTTTCCATGCTATGTTTACATCCAGACAAGGGAATGACAGCTGGGCTAAACACAGCTCCACACTGGGAGAGTCTCACGAAAACATAGCGCCTGTGAGGGAGGAAGGGACAGGCCGGTACAACGAGGGAAACCTGATAACATCCACTTTATGCACATTTATCATACACACACACACACACACACACACACACACATACGCAATCACTCAGATCCGTGGAGACACAGCTATACACAACACTTAATTTAGACGCGTTTGAAAATATATGAGCCCCTGAAATGCTTTTAAAGACGTTGCCTGTATGTCGAGGTTGTTTCTAAGATAGAGAGATAGAGCAGACAGAAAGACACGTGCCCAGCACAAGTGTAGGCCAAAGGTGCAGTCTGTCTGTGCACATGGGTGGAGTTTTCTTTTATTTTCATCGACGCACGTGGTTAGAAATGGGCATTTGCGCCATTAAGGGTGTGAACACAACCAATTTGTAAGCGGATCCTCTCATTCCCTGTAAACTCACCACAGGAGAGGTTTACGGTCTACATGGCGGAAGCATAAAGTGAACTACTGGACTTCATGAAGGAAATTGACACACGCACACTGTGTTTATAAGGGACTGCAAGAAGATCTCCACTTATGGTTGACAGAGAGTTTGCAGGGGATTTTGCAGATCAGAAGACAGCCTTCCACCCTGATCGTTCGTGTGTGCATGTGTGACACCTGTGTGTACATGTAAACTCCATTGCAACCTTGAGATCCGCCGAGGTTGTAAATAAACACACACAAAAACCGTCACACTTGATATTTGGTCGATCAGATAGACATTCCGCCTACTGGAACCCGGTCTAAGTTGTGGTGCAGGTGGTGTAATGTGATTTTGGTGGATTTGATCGAGGTGCAGGCAGACAGATTCTGAGCGATAAGTGTGACGGTTGTCATCGTATTTTGTTCAACTAAATATCGCAACAGTGCGTACTGAACCTTCATTGAATGTATAAGAGTTGACCCTGCATAATGGCACAGGCAGATTCACATATTCACAGATTTTTTTTTCACTGCTTTTCAGTATTTTTTATTGTTGTTTTTTTTTTCCCCAATATGCGGATTTTCACTATTCACAAGGCGGCCCGATCTCTATCACTGTATTCGACTGAATTATTATTATTATTATTATTATTATTATTGCTATTATCTGTAATTATATTTTTTTAAATCAAACCCATGGTCCAACCCATGGTTGTAATGGGGAGGAGGAGGAAGGAGGAGTCACGGACAAACCGATCACGGATGATCAGATTGACAGACAGTTTTCACGTGCTCACCTCACAGTAGTGATCTGCATTCGCTTTGGCCAACTTTACATCATCCGCCTGTGGAGGGCCCCTGTCAGTTCCTTATAAACTTACTTTGTACGCGCCGATATCCTGCATGGACTCAAGAATCAGGTCCTGCTACCACCATGTAGACTGTGCGATGTCACGCGCTGAATTCAAAGGAAATGAGAGAAGCCGCTTCCTTTGGCTGTGAAGGTACTTAAATGTTTTCATGCCCACAACGGTGCAAGTCACCCGTTTCTAACTGTGTACATCTGTGAAAATAGCAAGTCACAAGAAGCTACTACTGTATTAGTATTTGATAAAAGTATATTAAGTCCCATTATCTTCAGCGTTCAATCTTTTCCCCATTTGGACATGAATAAAATAACTCTAACTGGCTTTTTGTTAGTAACATAAACCTCTAATACTTTTTTGATTGATAAAAAGGAAAAAAAATGGAATACAAATGTATTACAACTAACCCAGCAGTCCCGGCAAATAAGAAATCTGAGTTGAAGCTACAGGAGTTGTGTTTTACTCATTAGTTTGCGATGAGCCAAAATAAACATACAGTTCTGAAGGACAGGACAGCAGAGTAATAATCGAGGCTTATCTGCCATCTGGTTCCGTTCTCGCTCCTGGGCAATCAATCAAAGAAGAGAGAGCAAGCTAGGTAGAGCTCAATTAATTCTTTGGCAATTATGCAATGCGGTTTAGCTTGTGTGTGTTCCTATTTTTATAGACTGGGTATCGGATGTTGACCAATGAGAGATATTTTTTTCATTTGATTGTGTATTGATACATTATGCTGCACAAAGAAACAAGTCATATACCACATGCATTCTATTACAGCATCTCTCAAGTTGCAACGAGGTGCACTTCCCCTTTTTGGGGAGAGGCTGCAAGAGAGATTCAAATCTGCAACCTTCTAGTCCGAAAGCATGTACTGAACAAAATGGCCAACTTACATTCTTTACGATACAATATGTGGCACAGCACATAACTGATGTGGCGTTCAAGCCAAATAACAGAGGGCTGGCAATTAATAAGTCAACTCATTCACTGCCATTGACAGCTATGTATGTAAAAAAATCTATTTTAACTGGCCTGCCAGTTTAATTTAATTCGCTGCATCATTTCACCAAAATAATTTTGCATTTAGTCAAGAGACCGACCGCAAAGGAACTGGCAGCCAAAACAATCACAACGGGTTTTGTTGTATCTTTGAGACTTTTCAGAAGATATTTGAATTTCTGGCTTTTGTAGCTTTAGTAGCTCACAGCTCCACAGCAACAGTCCCAAAAAAAGTTTGGAAATTAGATCGAATATACAGTTTTCCAAAGATTGTACTTGTTTGTATTTTCTGTCTTCGATTTGATGTCTCATGCCTTTCTAACATGCTCAGATTTTAGCACACAAAGACCTGACGTCGCCAACTCAACGATACATTGACAGCCGAGTGGTACGAACGCAAACGGAGGGCGAGTGGCTGACCTTCGATGTGACGGAGGCAGTGAGCGAATGGATGAATCACAGAGGTGAGTGCAGTCCAACACTCCTTCCCTACTGGATGTAGAACATGGATGACATTAGCCTGATTTGATATTTTTCTCTCCTCAGACAGAAACAGTGGATTCAAGCTCAGCCTACATTGTCCATGCTGTACTTTTGTTCCATCAAATAACTACATTATTCCCAACAAGAGTGAGGAGCTGGAAGCACGGTTTGCAGGTTATTTGATCTGAAAGTTTCCTAAGCAATGTTAGGTTCAGATTTGTGGACTATTTATCATCAATTCTTAAACATTCTAATCTGTTGAGCCCGCTGACATCGATTTATTATTATGTATGTCTTCTCTAGGTATTGATGACAGCTTCGTCAGCGGTGGTGATCTAAAAGTACTCAAGAGGCTGCGCCACAATACTCGGACACCACACCTTCTAATCATGCTGCTGCCCTCATACCGACTGGAGTCTCCGTTCCACCACAAAGCACATCGAACAAAGAGAGCCCTGGATGCAGCTTATTGCTCCAGGTACTGAGCTACTGTCGCTCATCCATCACCAGTATGAATGAACTTGCTATTCTGACAAATTACCGGTTTAGGAAAGCTTTATAGCCAAGTGCAATATGTATTGTTTGAATATTGTTTCATTTACCATTTAAGTTTTTTGTCGAGGTTTTGCCTGCATCACCGTTGTCTATTTCTAAATTGGATTATTTCTGCTCTGCCACTTGTAAAGATTGTTTTGACCAATTGGAATTCTAACCTGATCTTCAATTTTTAAGGGGCACATATTATGGAAATTGGATATTGGGGTTTGCTGTTGTCTCTTGCGTGCAGGGGTGGAGTTTGGTGGTTTTTAGGATTGATGGATTGGCTGTCATTATAAGGACTCACCTGCACCTTGGAATTTGTACTCAGGACTCTATAAGTAAATACCCCCCTAGCTCATCTCCTAGTCATTATTGGAAAAAAAAAACAGTGTTCATTAGCAAACCCTGGAGGAGGATTGAGACAGGACTGCCTCTTCAAAACCGGATGATTTCAGTGGGGCTTAAAAAAGCGGTTAAAAAGGGTGCTATAATTCTTGATGCTCAGGGTATTTAGACAAAAGTATGTCACAGTCATGTTATTGAAACACTTGGGAACTAATTTAGAATGTGGGGGGAAAAAATTGCCGTGAATGGATTATTGTTAAGTCTAAAATACAGATTTCAAGCTTATCCAAAGTAAAAAGCAGTCTATTAATATAATGCGATTTGTATGTCAATTTCCTCTTTCTCAGTACCCTGCTAATACTTGGAGGAATATCAGTCTATGTCGACAATATTTCATTTAAGTCAAAGATTTTTAACCACGTCTTCACCAAATTGTACATTTAATTTGATCTTGCCTTGGTACAGTAAATGCGTTTGATGGAAAAGGAGGTTTAATGTCGCATACGAGCAGAACTATGGGTTGTTTGGTCCCGATACCACGGATGTCAGAGTTTGGTTCGCATTGCAGTAAGTCGGATTTGTTTCCAGTGAGGTTTAGACTCCGCCAAGGCTGCCCTTTGTCACAGATTCTGTTCTTAACCTTTATGGACAGAATTTCTAGGTACGGCCGAGGTGTTGAGGGGGCCCGGTTTGGTGGCCTCAGTATTACATCTGATGTGGTGCTGTTGGCTTCTCCAACTCTCACTGGAGCAGTTTGCATCTGAGTGTGAAACGGTTGGGATGAAAATCAGCACCTCCAAATCTGAAACAATGGTCCTCAGTGGGAAAAAGGTGGAGTGCCCTTTCCAGGTCTTGATGAGATCTTACCCCAAGTGGAGGAATTTAAGTATCTTGGGATCTTGTTCATGAGTGAGGGTAGGATGGGACGGGAGATCAACATCTGCTGTGATGCGGACTCTCGTGGTGAAGAAGGAGCTGAGCCAAAAGGCGAAGCTCTCGATTTACCGATCGATCTATGTTCCTAGCCTCACCTGTTGTCACAAGCTATGGGTCGTGACTGAAAGAATGAGATCCCGGATATAAGAGGCCGAAATGAATTTCCTCTGCAGGGAGTCTGTGCTCTCCCTTAGAGACAAGGTGCAACGCTTGGTCATCCGGGAGGGGCTCCGAGTCGAGCCGCTTGTCCTTCACATTGAGAGGAGCCACATGAAGTGGCTCGGGCTTCTGATTAGGATGCCTCCCTGGTGAGGTCCCAGGACACGCTGGCCTGGGAACGTGTTGGAATCCCACAGGGAAGTGCTGGAAGAAGTGGCTGGGGAGAGGGAAGTCTGGGTTTCCTGCGAAAGCTTTTGCCCCCGCGATCTGACCCTGGATAAGTGGTAGAGGATGGATGGATGGACAACCAGAACTCTGTAAAAAACGTCACCTCTCATCTTCTTCTCCCTTATGAATTATAGAAATGTTCAAGACAACTGCTGCTTGAGAACGCTCTACATTGACTTCAAGAAACACCTTGGCTGGAGGTGGATTCATGAGCCAAAGGGCTACGAGGCCAACTTTTGCGCTGGAGCCTGTCCTTATCTCTGGAGTGCTGACACACAGCATGCCAAGGTACTATCAGGTTTACAAAGGCTTGTAGTTGAAATAATCTATGAGAGTGAGGAATGTTAACAATAAAGTTACATTGAAAACTATAATCGCGACTATTTGACTGTTATTTTTGTGTCTCCAGGTGTTGGGCCTTTATAACAGCATTAACCCTGATGCATCAGCGTCACCCTGCTGTGTGTCTCAGGACCTGGAACCCCTCACCATCCTCTACTATATCGGCAAGACGCCGAAAATAGAACACCTCTCCAATATGAAGGTCAAGTCTTGCAAGTGCAGCTAGAAAACTAAGCCAGCACAAGCCACACCCAACTTCCTTTCCACAAGAACGCACACACACCAATTGCAACCATGCTATCTCTTCTATTTTCACTCACACGGTCCAGTGTCATGTGTTCAAGATTAGCGGTACTGAACAAATAAACTTCATTCCAAAATGGCACTGCTTACACTCTTACAAATACACTACGCAGACCTTGATTCCATGAAGACTTTGACACCATGTGCCTTGTATTTGTTTTTTGTTTTTTCCATGCTCTTTAGCAGACATCAAATCTGGCTGGTGAGCAAATATTTTGATGCTGAACATTAGTCCAAGTTGAAGTGTGCCTTCAGTGTGCGGTGCCCTGCTTGGCTTTCCAAGCATCGACTCCCCTCAGCTATCCAATTTCAAGATTCAACCTGTCATATCCAATCATGCCTCTTTCTCCTGTAAGGGTAACAGTGCAGTTATTTTGGTGCTAACAGAATTAGACTGGGGTATTGTTCCCATGTAGCTAAACAAACAAAACAAAAGGCTCGAAGAGTAAGAAATCCTGACTATTTCTTAATGACAATGAACACCATGAATTAATATTTATACAAGACATCGGCAACTACCTGAAATGTTTTGTGCGGTGTTTGCCATACATTAAGATGATAAATTACCACTGTCTTTCAGAGAAACACAGTGGAATTAATCGTGATCCAGTTGTGGTGAGATCAACTAATACTCAGGGCTCTATTTTTATTGGCAGCGCACATGAGCATGGGTGTATAAACTGGCACATCTTGATTTTCATGGCGACGCAAGCCTTGTTTAGAATTTGACAGATCATGCCGTGCCATGCCGTGCATTCCGGCAGACCCAGAGCCTTTTCTTTTACGTGGCCCCGGCGCGCCTGATGACTTGGTGGCTGAAAGTAGGCTAAAATGTACACCTGCTTGAAGCAGGTCAAAGTTGTGGTGCAGGCAGTGTAATGTGATTTGGGTGAATTCGAGTTGGCAGATTCTGTGCACCAGGCACATGTGTGTTTTGGTGACAGCATTTCTCATTCATAAATATGACAAAAGTGTACATCAAAGTTTGCATTATAATTATTATTTTTTTAATTGTTATTATTGTTTTGATCATTATTGCATTTTTAAAATGACCCCCTGGCTGCAGAACAGCTATGGGTGATGAGTGTCACCAACGGGCACAAACGATTGGGTTGGAAACCGGTCTCCAAGTGCCCACTCAACAGTGGTGATCTGTGATTGTGACGCAAGCCTTGTTTAGAATTTGACAGATCATGCCGTGCCATGCCGTGCATTCCGGCAGACCCAGAGCCTTTTCTAACGCAAGCCTCGTTTAGAATTTGACAGATCATGCCGTGCATTCCGGCAGACCCAGAGCCTTTTCTTTTATGTGGCCCCGGCGCGCCTGATGACTTGGTGGCTGAAAGTAGGCTAAAATGTACACCTGCTTGAAGCAGGTCAAAGTTGTGGTGCAGGCGGTGTAATGTGATTTGGGTAAATTTGAGTTGGCAGATTCTGTTCGCCAGGCACATGTGTGTTTTGGTGACAGCATTTCTCATTCATAAATATGACAAAAGTGTGCATCAAAGTTTGCATTATAATTATTTTTTTTTTTAATTGTTATTATTGTTTTGATCATGATTGCATTTTTAAAATGACCCCCTGGCTGCAGAACAGCTATGGGTGATGAGTGTCACCAACGGGCACCAACGATTGGGTTGGAAACCGGTCTCCAAGTGCCCACTCAACAGTGGTGATCTGTGATTGTCTTGGCCGACTCGACATGAGCTGCAAGTGGAGAGCTTGCAGTTGCGTATTAACGTATTTACATGCGTCAATCTACTGTATGCAATTCAGCCATGTAGACTGTGCGCCGAATTTAGAGGCCGTGAGAGTAGCCCGGAAGCATGTTGGCTGTGTTCATACCCAAAACAGTGCAAACTGCCAGTTTCAAACTACATGCCTCTGCAAAAATCCCAAAAGAAAGAAAACTTCACTCACACGCACAGTGAGGCTGAATTTTGACCTAGACTTGCGCTGGGCATAAAAATAGGGCCCTGAGTCTTGACTTCCCTTATTTTAACTCAAAATAAAAAGTACCAAACAGTTCTGTCCCTTATTAGTTAATTCAATTGAGGAGAATTGCTGTACGTATTCTACAGCTTTGTTCATTGAAATGGTTACATTTTCCTGATTGACAGAAGAAAACTGAAAATTACAATTACTGTTGACTTGTCTCGACATGATCTATCACATATCAATAGATGACACCTTTAGAGCAGTGTTTCCCAACCGTCAGTGGGCGGAGGCACCCATTTCCCATTCGAACAATTTCATGAAAACTATGAACACTGAAAAAATGGTGATCTGGTCTCAATTTACCCACAAACTGACTTACCCCATGTGAAATGTCGATCTTTTTAATTGAACACATAGGCGTTTACCTCGTAAACCTTACCATGAAGTTATTTTGTTGGATGAATGGCAACCGGGAGATACACAGGTTCATTTTACCATCTGCCATCAAATGGAAGAGCATTTATTTGTTCTGCCCGTCACTATACATCACTGGCATTGATAGATGAAGATATATACATACAGGTATATATACAGGTCTTCATAATTAATTAAAAAAAAAAATTGGGGCAGACTAAGTGCGATTGGATAATTTCTAGCGGCACCCCTGATGCGCTCTCAAGGCACACTTGTGTGACATGACACTCTCACTGGCTGGGAACCATTGCCCTCCAGAAAACCTTGTCACATGTTGATAGCAGCCTTCGTACAACAGTGACACTGCCAAGAGGTTATTGAATAAATGAATCAGTAAAACCCTGGTCGGAAAAAAAACAACATTTTTAACATGAAGGATGAAATAATAGCGTTAGTAATGTAATGACAAAATGTTGATTGCCATCTCAACGATGCGCAAGTGGATGTGCCCTTTTTTTCAATGGGCTTCTATAGAAGGCCCAGTCAACATGAATCACCTCACGCGCTTGTCGCACGAGACAGATTAAGGCAAACACTGGAAGTTTATGTGATAAGTGTCTACATGTGAAATGAGTTCTGAAAATTACACAGATCCACCCTCAATCCCCATCCACCTTTGCGCTCGCGCTTATTCAATCATACCACCTCCTCATTTGCATCTGTCTTTGTTTGTATCCTTTGTATTTTTTTATGTGTTCATTGTCTTGCTATTTAAGATGTTCGTGCTTCGGTGCGCTACACTCAAGAAACTTTGAATATATTCGAGAAGTGGAAATGCAACCTCGCCGACCCTTTGTATCTGTCAGGTGGTCCATTAAAGATTTTTTTGTTGTAAAATGTTAATAGTTTTGGAAATAACTGCTGTCCGCTTATACAGTGAAAGGGTGAGCAACTTGTGCAAGTGCTCCAGATGTGCAGCTTGATTTCCAAACGGTTTTCAAAAGAGTTCACTCGATAAAATATTTGTGTCTGTCATTAAAAAAAAAAAAAACATGGTTTGGGAGTGAAACTCAGTTTGCACACGTTGCAGCAAATAGATGGCTATTCTGTAGAACAAAGCAATAAGCAGCTGGAAGATTGTTCATTTTCTGACAGGCCTAAGACCTTTGTAGGTGGAGCGCATCTTACAAAAAGACTAATGACATCGAGTTGCTGTAGCTTCCTCGTTATATATTTCAGACCACATACTGTAGTGAGCATGTTGATAACATGGGCATTAAAGCAATTATTATGATGCGTGTCAAACATTTGACATTGGCAGTGCTGCGGCATTTGTTGAATGCGAAAGATGGAAGAAGCTACTGAAATGGCAACCATTCAGTTTGAGATAATGCAAGCAGCAATTACTTTTTCTTAAGATTCTAGTTGGTTCCAAGAAATGTACTTTTTTTATTTTTTGGCTATTCTCACATGCTCTGGAAAAAACAGCATTGCTTAATCGTGTCATCTTATATCTCAATTTGAAGTAGGCCAACTTGGAGCAAATACAGCTATTCAAAACAGCCGCAATGAAGAAATAGGCTTGCAAATTCCAACATCAAAACTTTCCTTGGGAATATATAATGGGAATATATAAACATTAACAGAAACTAATTCATTGGAATAAATTTGAAATTTGCAGTTTAGTTATGAATGGGAAATGTTATATAAATGTAGGGGAACAATGTTTTGCAGCAGTATATTTCTTCACAGTTAGACTGATTTTTTTTTTTATTTCTATTTTGATTTTGGAGCTATTGCTGGAAATGTTTTCATTCTATTTTTAAAAAAAATCAGTTTGTAAGTCCTCTTTTCTGTTCAAGTTGGTTAAGCATTGAGATCTCACAGAATTGCAAGTGTCTGCATTAAGCACGAAAATCTTGTCATCGAATACATTTGTTAAGCACTGCATCCAGTATGTATTGTACAGGATATATATTTGTTGGAGTCAAGAATAATGTCCGGTTCAATAGCACGGACTGAATATTTATTCTCGAGGAAACAAACCTCTCGTGAATATGTTAACACAGTTTAGCTGAGGTTGTCCATCCCTTTGCAAGCCAACTAATCATCAAATATGATCTGTCTGTGACTGCCACACGAAAAAGTGTGCAACACAACATATTATTTTGCAACCAACAACTGAAATGAGACACTATTGAAAAGTCTCTTTTTTTTCCTTCCTTCCTTAGGAAATAAATCTCCAAAATTCCTGGGATTATTATTAATTTTTTTTGAAGCAAGCAAATCCAAATTTGTGTCCAGTCTATCCCTAACATGACAAAAATGGCTTCTGCCATTCGTGTCCCTTTCACTGTACTTCATTTGGATTTTGATCGTTTTGCTTGTGGCCTTGTGGAATCTCGAAGAGTTGAACCTTGAGCCGTCATTTGCGGTTGAATCAAAAATTTTCCATCCATGGAGAAACTAAAAGCGATGACATTTTATACACATATTGGGTGAATATTGGTGTCATGTCATGCTCTCACCATAGTCATGTGCTTAGCTCACAGTGGTTAGGAAAGCTCTCGGTCTTCTGGTGAGGTCTTTTGACAAGTGATGACAGTGCACATGCAGAAACGCTGCATACGATTAGTGTCATTTGAAGAATTTAGGAAGGTCGCTGACTAGAAGAAGAGGCCTTTCAAATGTTTTCAAGATGGAAGAACATTACAAAACGTATCAGTCAGACAATGGCCAATTGATCCACTTTGTTCGAGGTTAGGAAAATGTCATCACTGAGCCATACTGTATTTCTGCCAATATGACGCTTTTGTTTCACCCTCGTCTGTCTGTCATTAGCTTTCAAAACAAATTGCACTGATGTTGTTTTCATTTTGTTTTTAGTGTATTAAAAAGAGAAGGTATTCCCTTTATATTTTAGTTAGTCAACCCCAGTCCCCTACTCCCTCCACCTTCATCAAACAAGGAGTGTGGATAACCAGCCCAAACGGGCAATGCCAGTGGACATCCTGACTAGCAGGGAAAAAGATTTCTACACACCTTTTTTGTTGTTGTTTTTTTTTTTTATTGTATTTTTTGTTTTTCATGATGTGATTGTGACCCACTATGTTGTACTGTAATAGGGTATATTGTGGTGCTCTAGTGGAAAATAAATTATTTATGATTCAAGGGTTCACTGTGTGTGATTATTTACAGTGTACTGTTTGTACTAACTGCTGTATTTTTCTCTCTTCGCATTTTGCATCGAAATAAGCAGAAAATGTGAAAACAAAGTTTGTGGTTCAGTTCATTCTTTTTGTTGGCCTCCATCTTTCCAACCTCAATTTGAACAGTCATGTATTTTCTTCCTGCCAATCCCTGATTGAAACTGCCGTTAAATTTAGACCAATTTGATGACTCTTTACCTCACAAATCAAAGTTGCATGTCAATGCTGGAAGTTGGAATCAGTTGCGTCACCATACAAGTATGACAATTATCGTGGCATGGTTTAAAGAAGAGTCAATGATTGTACATAAATCAGCAGTTAAAAGTTCAGACAATTTATGTTGCATGCATATTTCCCATGTTTCTCTTCTGTGCTAACCTTAAATCACCAATCACCAATTTCAGAGTAGTTATGCATGAGTGAACAACTTAACATGAACTGACAGATAGGAGCCCCTGTATTAGCATCTCTGGTGAGTACGATGTTGTTTATTTATTTCAAGTTTTTATATTGAAAAATGTTTTTTGAAGTATTCTATTGTACTGTAAATGTTTGGAGTTGTTGAGGTAACGTATTGGAAGATAAAGGTATGTGTTTTTTTTTTTCTTTTGGTAATATCCTGAAATACGTGAAATGCTCTTCTTTACTGTCGCACCTCTTTCATATTGATGCGTATGGGTGACAGTGCTTGGAAGGGAGCTTAAACAGTCGATTGTCTGTGAATCTGCGAAGGTGTTTTAGGAACACTTGAGTAACAAGTTCTGCAGTGTGAACGCAGCCATAATTACATAATGTTTTGGGTTGGGGGGGTTTTTAGCGGCGCTATGGTGTTATTAATTGTGGATTAAATCACTAAATACCCACTGAAGGCCCAGTTCCAAAATTCACCTCCTGCTATTGTTAATATAGTTTAATATTTCACGATTAAACTCTATAGTGCATACGCAATGAGGCTGTTATAATTCTTACTTTGAAGAGATCATAACGGATGAAATCCAGATACAGCTTTCACAAAAGCAGGGTAATCATCAATCAAAATTTCCACAGGTATATTTCGAGTTATTGACAAAATTTCGACTAACCGTGTTGTGCTTTACCACCAAACATATAGTCAACGTTCCTCCATTAATTCACTATTGTTCTTTTTAATCTCCCCGTCTCCATCGTCCCTATAGCCTGCTTTCCTCCAGCACTTCCGCTCTTTCTTTATCCCGCTTTCACTGATAAACAGGCAAAACAGCGGAAAGCGTACAGGTCAGGAAACCATTGTGGCTCAGTGAGGGGCTCTTTTCTACTTGAAACAGGAAATTCTTGTTCATATAAGTGTCTTTATGAGTGTTTTCAGTCTATTACACTATATATACTGTGGTCTTGTTTTGACTCCTGACAACTATTAAAGGGAGACTTGGAAAAACAAATTGTTTGTCGAGCATGTCTGGTGGGGCCTTGTTGGTCTGCTTTCACATATTTTGGGTGAATACCAGAACACAATACTTTGGAGCAGTTCACAGTTGACTTATTACCTACCAGGACAAAAATGTGAAAAATAAAACACAACATACCAGAGATGCTGATTATTTATAGATTAAAAAACACACCTCCTTTCATTGGTCCTGCTTGTGAGATAAGCACCTGTCTGCACAGGAAGTGCCGAATAAATCCTTTTACAGGTTAAAGGAAACCAGCTAGAAATGGTGTTGGGTGACTTATCCTCACAATGTCCAATTTTTCTTGAAAAGTCTGCTTAGAAACGTAATTTTTGATCATGTCCGACAGTCGTCCTCCTCAGTCACCCGCATGTAATTAAGAATCCCATTCACATTTTTGGCAGAACATGCCTCACACCAATATAATTGGCTGCATAACGCCAGACTAGCTCGCGCTGATCAATTATTCGGAGCACAGAAAAAGGCTGCGAGTTGTGAATCTAAAATCTGATTGGTTAAACAAATGTGTTATGGGTCAGCACGAAGGTCATTGAAAGCCTTGGGCAGATTGCATTGACATGACAACACATATAATCTGAAATTTGATCAGCCCAAAAAAACAAAACAAAAAAACTCAAAACATACTCACGACTGGATGCTGAACAGCCAAGACACATGCTATCAAAATGATCATGATGATATAAACTGTTGGAAATAAGTTAAAACAATTACATGCGAGTTGGAAATAGAGTTTAGGGTTTCTGGAAGTAGTCGCTGAAGGTGTACACTCGCCTGACTTGTGTGCACACAGCTTGGGATCGGTTCCCAATTAGTGATGGTGTGAATGTGGGTGTCTATATGGTTGTTCATCTCTCTATGTGCTCTGTGACTGACCGGCGACCAGTTCAGGGGTTAGTCCGCCTTTCGCCCAAAGTCAGCTGGGATAGGCCCCAGCAATTCCAGTGACCCTCTTCAGGATATGCGGTGTTGGAAATGGGTGGATGGATGGTTTCTGGAAGTGATTAGGGTAGCGGAGAAGGACTGCAGTAAGAGCAAGTTTACCAACCCTGTGTTGCAGAGAGTTCGCCTCTTTGCTTAAGGTAGACAGATAGTGTTTCTACAGAAAGTGGTAGATTTGCAAGTAGCCAGCTGAAGCATTCCCTCATCTGGTGCTTGGTGGTTGTTCGTACAGATCATTAAAGTAAAATGTTTAAGGGTAAGGCAGGATATTTCTACACGTTTGAATGCCCAAAGCTTGTCTGAAGCCCCTTTCAGGACAGATGAAGCAGCATAAGATAAGATAAGATAAGATAAGATAAGATAAGATATGCTTTATTTGTCCCACAATGGCCTAATGATTTTTTTACTGCAGCAGTATTACTCTGTGTACATTGATCATGTTCTTGGCTGGCCTACTGCCATCATGCTAAGGAACATCCAGGAAGAAATCGGCAAAGAAGCCACTGTTAGCTTGAGTTGATTGAGCTTTTCCTGCTCACACTTGAACAGCTCCTTCAGTTCACCCTTCAGGTGTTTATATAGGATAGTTTCAATGAATATGGAATTTCTGCCTCTCAAGTGGACAATGACAGAACTTCTCTGATTGCAGTCTGTACATACAACAACCTTTTCAGCCATCTTCATTCTGTCAAACTGGAAGACGGACTGGCTTGACGTAAGAGTAAATGTCTGGATCCAGTTGAGCGGTTGGAAGTACCTTTGGTCCTTGCATGGTACTTCTCACCTCTTGAAAGTTGTTTTCGTCTTCTGGAAGAAGCAGATGCTGTCCACAGGTGATACAAAGTGCCGGCTGCTATTGTGGCAATGAGACTGCCTGATAGAAATTGAAGGCTTAAAAAAAAAAAAAATTTAAAAAAGGAGTGCTCAAGACCAAGCTGAGACCAAGTCTTGCCTGTGACCAGAACTCACCGAGAACAAGATAAGACCAAGAAACCTGAAAGTTGAGACTGAGTCAAGACCAAGCCCAAGACAAGTCCAGACAGGATCACGACCGTAAAAATTAATTTCAAAATCTATGACAAGATTGAGCAGTTAAAGAGCATTCTATCTTTAATTTGAAATCTCTAATAAATACATTTGACAGCTCAAAACAGTGTCTGCAATTCTTCGTGTGTTTGTGGGAGGGGGACCTTTGGAGAGTTGTTTTCATCAGATCCCGGTTTTCACTGTCAAGGGCAAATGGCAGACATGGGTGATGGCAGATGGCTTCACGTGGGTGAGCAGTTTGCTGATGTCAGCATTGTGGATTAATAAACTTGTGATGGATGTGGAGTCGGGGTAGCACAGATGTATTTTATTGATGTACTTTTGAATTTAAATGGATGCTGTGACAAGACCCTGCGGGCCCATTGTAATGTCATTCATCCTCGACCATCACCTCACGATGTATGGACTTATGTTGCAAGGATGTATTCAGAATCCTTTGAAGGGTGGTGCATGGCTTCCATACTCACCATACATGACATTCATTGAACATTTTCCGAAGACTTTGGATCGACATATATGACGCTGTGTTCTAGTTCCTGCCAATTTCCAGCAACTTTGGGGCAGTAGGCCCTGAACTGGTTGCCAGCCAATCGCAGAGCCACTGAAGAGTGGACCATCATTCCATGGGTCACAATCAACAACCCGATGAACCCGATGCTCAGATGTGTTGCACTGCGTGAGGCAAATAGTGGTCACAGTAGGTACTGACAGGTTTTCTGCTCGCCTTCCGAGCCAATCCTCTCACCTGCACCAATTCAGTAAAACTGCACTTATTACAGCACCCTTTTTATTGTGGCCAATTTATGAAACACCTGTGCAATAATCAATGTTGTGTTTTGATATGCCAACTTGGTTCAGTAGCACAGATCTCGTCAGATCTGTGTAGAATGTGTGAAAAAATAGGCCTTTTGTGTCAAACTTTCTTCTCTAATTTTAAGAATCACTCCTTATGGAAAACGTCTAAATCCTTCAGCTCGTGAAAAATAGAAAAAAGACAAAAGTGTCGCTTTTATATTTATTTTCGGTGTAAATAAATACCTTCAAGCTGAACCCCATCAAACGAACATTATATCAACTTTCTGCAGACCCCACTTGTAAACCTATATTCACGTGCCCTCTTCTGTCGGGTCCCAGGCTTCAGCTACAGCTAAGCTTGTCAGACTGATGGACAAAGGTTTCCTGGCTGCAAATCAAGGCCATCTTGAGGGACAATGCTCCATTCAGTTAGGGGTTGAGGCCACAGGGGATAGTTGAACCTTATTCACGTTTACTCTTGCAGCTCTCACGTAGCCTTGCCCAAACAACACTGAACTCATTTCAAACCAAGAGTCTATCGCGTTGAGACATGTGAACAGAATGAAAAGCAAGTCAGCAATCATTTACCAGCGCAATTATTGTCATGTGACTAATCGTCTACTGATTTAGATCAGTATTATGATTCTTGAAGAATAAACAGTAAATATGCTTGGCTCAGAGAGGAAGTCATGCATCTTCTCAGTTCCATAAATCACCCCATTCACTCAGGCGC